AACTAAAAATATTAACTGATTTATTACATATAGGAATTCTTTCATGCTGCCAGAAACAACCAGTCTTTGTTTGCTAAAATAAATGAAGAAAAAATAGTTTTTTTCTTACATTTATTAGGAATAGATACAAATGGACATGCTCACCGACCATCATCAAGGTAATTTTAATGCTATATTCAATTTGATTTTTTTGAAGATAATAGATACTGTTTGAATTTTTTTTTTTTTTGTACTGGGGATCAAACTCAAGACCTTACGCTTGCAAGGCAGGCAGCAGCACCACTGAGATAAATCCCAGGCCTATACTGTTTGAATTTTTAAAGTATTATGATATTTTCTTTGTAATTATAACATCAGAACTAATATTTTAAATAATTAATGTAACAAGCAGTAAGTTTCTGAATTATATAATATATATGGTGATGGAATGGTTAAAATCATGTTTAGACATTAAAACAAATGAAAAGTATCCTGTACATATATTCCATATTCTTCATTTATCAACCCACATAAAATATTTTCTTTAAAATATATTCAGTGAGTCTTAAAATACTTTTATGAGATTAATTTTTGCATTACAAAAAAGTATAATTCTTCTGTATTCCATTTATTCATTACTGTATCTAGCAAATAATTGTATAAATTTTGTCTTTATATTTCCATAGCATGCCTTATATATAACAACAAATATTTTTCTCACTTTTGCAGACCATGAGAAAGAGGAAGAAACCATGTTATACTTGCGTTCTTTATTCTAAATTTGGTTTAGACTAGCCTAATTATAAAGTATATTGGGTTAGTGCCAGTAATGAATACATGTTCCCCTTCTTTAAGTTGCTCTGTTTTAATAGATAGAATATATTCACATGAAACTATCTTTGTTCAACTGAATGGTAAGCTTACATATAATGTTTTCAAGATATATTTTATATCACACACTTTATAGGATGAAAATATTCTATACTTGAAACAGTAGTACTTATCTGTTAAGGTGGCTAGAAGAGTATAGTTTATTATGTGAGAAATGAACTTGAAAGTCATCATTTTCTCATTTGAGACTTTAAAAAAGCATTCATTAAAATTATTTGCTAGTGATTAATATTCTAAATAGATATCAGTCATCTGGGTGGGGGGTCAAGGACTTAACCCAGCCTCTCCAGGAAATATCCCTGACCCCCATTCTTACTAAAAATCCTTGTATGCTTGCTACGTGACTTGCTCCCCCATTTGACCCCCATTTAATAAATATTACCTGGGTGACTGTACTTGTAATCTTATTGGTTGGTCATGGTTTTGTCCCACCTCATGCCCACCTTGTAAATTTCCATTGGGTCTTATGGTTTTGTTCCACTTTGTACCCACCTCACCACATGGCTTTGCTGTATAAAACATCTTTGAAAAGTGGGGTGAGTGGGCAACCCACTTTTCAGTCCCCCTTCTGTCTCTCTTAGGCAGAAGCTTTCTTTCTCTCAATAAATTTTTCCTACTCTTAAAAAAAAAATGTATTTGCTAATCAATTTCATCCTTTTAATCACCTCTGAAAACTATTTCAGGTCTTTTTACCTTACTTAAGTGTAAAAAACTTTTCAGTAATCTAAAATCTTTGATTTTAATATGTTAAAGATTAATTTTACAAATTAATTTTTACAAAGTCCTGATTTATAATGTAACGAGTCCATGTTGAGTAAATTTGATTTCTAAAAATTAATTTAATTTGTTCTGTTGTTTCTTTATAAACAGAGACTATAAGGACAATATTAAAATAGTTGATAATAGAGTGAAAGAAATTGTGTCCATGTTTAAACATTTTTATGGAAATGATGAAAAAACAACATTTATCTTTACCTCGGACCATGGAATGACAGACTGGGGTTAGTCTATCTAAGTGATATGTACCTTACAATTAAAGTAGTGGTAAATATAACTTGTAAATATCTTATAATGTTGAAAGGATTAGATGTTTTATTAATGTGTAAAGTAGTACAAAATAATTGCATGCTTAAAATGTTAGTATGAAAAGGGCCGATCTTACATTAAAAATCTTTGCTCTAGGGCCAGGGACTTAGCTCAGTGGTTCCACTGCTTGCCTTGCAAGCACAAGGTCCTGGTTTGATCCCCAGTACCAAAAAACAAACAAAAAATCTTTGCTCTAATTGTAAAAAGAATATATGCTCATTTACAAATGAAAAAGTCGAAAATAGTATGAAGAAGAAAATAAGAAGTACCTATTATTTATCTAGAATTCACTGTATGTTATAGTAAAGGGAGGTGATATTAAAATGATGTTAACAATGAACGTAGGATTACTAAAATTGTATCCTACATAAGCCTGTGGTCCCTGTGAGGTTCCAAAGGCAAATGTAGTATGTACTCAGAGAACAAAATGCAAACATGGGGTTTGGGCCCTCAAATCACAAGATAGAGGTTTAGTGGGCTGGGTTCCACTTTATAAAAAGTTTTTTTTAACTACTCTACTACAGTGGTCTGAATGAAAAGAATCCATAAACCTTGCTGTCCTCTTCAGAAGCCCACACCACTTCCTCTAAGCTACAGTAGAGCTAGCTCTCACCTGTTCTTTGTTTTTAGTGCCACTCTTGTAATGGTGACATCTCCTCTATCATTTATTATTATTGTTTTTATTTTTGTTTTAACTAGAGTCACTTAGTAGATATTTTGGCTGTTTGTTTTTGTTTGGGTTTTTTGCCTTTTGGGTGTTGATGCTCTGACTTATTTTTTGAGAATATTTTAAAACTAATTTTTATGAGACGTAAGCATTTAAGAATGTGGTGGCTAGAGTTAGTGATATATAGATCAACTCATTATGACAATATATTTTTAAAATACTTAGCCTACAGTTCTTATATATTTGTCTTACTACTCTTGATGTCTTGTTTATAGGTTCCCATGGGGCTGGCCATCCTTCAGAAACTTTAACTCCTTTGGTAACTTGGGGAGCTGGAATTAAGTATCCCCAAAAAGTATCAGCTCAGCAATTTGCTGATGAGTTTTTGAAAGGTATAAACATTTGTCTGAATTGTTTTTATAAATATCATATTTGAAAATAAAAGTAAAATTAAATTTAAAATTTAAATTAATTTTTAAGAACCACTTTTCAAATTATATTTTTAAATCCCTCATGTTGATATTTGTGTCATTACTGTTTTTATGCAAAACAAAGGATTGGCTTGTTGTTTTTTTTCTCTTCTTGCAGTCATTTACTAAACATTTTTCAATATACCCCTAGCTAATAATATATATTTAAATCTTTCTAAATGTCTAGAAACTGAATTTTAACTTGTTTTATTTACTAATTTAATTAATTTGAATATATTGCAGAGTAAATAAATATAAAATAAATAAGAAACCTAAGGTTTCTTAGAGGTAAATTATAAATTTGATTTCGGTTTTCCAACCCAAACAGAAAACAGTGTTATAAAATCACAATATCTAGAAGATATATCCATTAGATAAAAAGATGTGGTACTGGGCCAGGGATGTAGGTCAGCGGCACAGCGCCTGCCTGGCAAGTGTGAGATCCTGAGTTCAATCCCTGGTACAAAAAAAAAAAAGATTTGATATCAAGATATTCAGCCCTGATGAAGACAGAGGGATATGGTGAGTAAAGTACTCATTAGCATAGCTTTCGTATGTAATGGTGCATTTTTTCAGAGGGCTCTTTCTTAGACATTCATCAGTACTAGTGGAGACCATCAGGCTAAATCACAGATCTACAGAAGTACTTGACAAAGGGCCAGAAAAAGGCAGCTAGTATACTGTTGTGATTTTTACAGATGAAAAGAATTTACTAAATGGATGCAACTTGAGACCATACTCTTAAGTGAAGTAAAGTGAACGCAAGTGTTTAAATACCGCATTGTTTCTCTGATGTGAGAAACTGAAAGTGGAAATAAGGACTAAAGTCTACAGT